CTTCAGAATGAGCCCTCGCTGTTAGCAATTCCGCCAAGAAATAGGGTCAATTCAGAATTTCTGAACCGTGGCACTTCTGACATTGTGGGAAGCTGTCGTGTGTGTGTGTGTGTGTGTGTGTGTGTGTGTGTGTGTGTGTCCTGGAATATTCAGGCTGCGTCTTTGTGTATAGCCTCTAGATGTCAGTGTTACCTCACAGCTGGGGCAGCCAGAATTCCCACTGGACTTGCTAAAGCTCTCTGCTTTGGTTGAGAATCACGGCTGTAAATACCTTCATTTATTTTCCTAACTGAAAACATGAGGCAGGATCCAGACTGGAGAAAGGGTAATAAAATCAGATCGTAGGTGGGCTTTAAGATTCAAGAAGAGAACATGTCAAAAAGTCAGGGAAGACTTTTGGAAGTCCCTTCAGCCGGGACTTCATAGTAGAAGGTCATTACCACGTTTGGTCTGTTTGGGGACAAGATACTTACACAGCTGTGTTCACAGGCTAATGATGGGTGCTATGGCTTGGCTATAGTTTGACTGTGGAATCTCCGAGAGTCACATCATTAAAAGCCCCTACACTGGTCATGTGGTAGGATCTTTAAAAGGTGAGGTATAGCGAGAGGTTAAAGCTGGCCCCTCCCTGTTCTCTGGCTTCCTGTCTTGCAGTGTTCTGGCGCCCCACACATGAGCTGGTTGGCTATGCTATGCTTTTGGGGATTTAACTTCCCAAACCATGAAGTAAAGAAATGTTTTCTTTACGTTATCATGCTCGAATGTTATATATAACACAGTAGACTAATCCACTAGACAGTCCAAGGTGGAGCAGACTGTGGGGTGGATATTCTGATTTCCAATGCAGTTCTAGCTCCCGCCGAATCATAAGGTGCCCAGAAGAGCATGGGGGCCTGGAGCCTACAACAGTGTGTGCCAAATGGAAGGAGCTGCAGATTACCCTGATTTAAGCGTCATCCTAGAAAAGGGCACCCAGTGAGTTCTGTTCTCACATTTACGGTTGTAACGTGTTCTTGGAATTCACTGGTCATTTTGGTAAGACATCTCTGTTATGTCAGCATCTGATCCTGAATAAGAGGACATCCATGTTGCCCATGCAAAAATGTATTCTGCCCTAGGATTTGTTTATTGCTTTACTCTGCAAGCATCCAAACTGCACCACACTGTACCATTACTGCTGTCTTAGAAGGGTTGCTCAGGACAGAGTGGCATTGCTAGGTTAACAAGGAGACACTAAATGAGTATCTCCATTCCTGGAGATCGCCACGCCCCTCACACATCACACTGAGCCTTCCAGGTATTTATTTTGCATTAATTGCAGTTGCTTTCAGATTATCTTGCATCTGTTTCTTGACTTAATCAGATTGCTATCCCCAAGCGGCTTATGTAATGCTTCAGGTAAAACAGCCTACAATGAGAAACTGGTGAGAACAATTTGGCAGTGAATTAAATGTAAACCATTTCACAGAGAAAGCCAACCCTGGGCTCAGCTACCTTTTTGTTACTTTCACTGAATTCTAAGCTGTTTGAGGTTTAACAAAAAAGCCTACCTCTTGGACTTGTGTTTTAGGTGTCTAGCTCTAAACAGTTGGTTGACAAAAGGAATTAACTGAAATGTTAACATATGTAAGTCCAATGTTTTAACCTCAAACCTCATTTGCTCAAACCTTTTTCTACTATGTGGCATTCACACAGATGAACTCTCTTCTCCACTCCCATCTCTTCATGTACATTTAGTTATTAAGCATTCCTAGTCCTTATTAACTGTTTTCTGAATACAATTACCATTTTATCAGGCTTGAAAAACTGTTGAAAAGTTAAAACATTATAGTGGATCATGCTATATGTCTCTAAAAGCAGCAAACAGAATGGATTGTGAGTATGTGTAAACCTACAAGTAAATACAAAGTGAACGTGGCTGGTATCTTAGCAGAGCGGGACTAAGTGTCTCACCTGCTCAGAGTTGGCAGTCAGCCTTTAGCCTTGTCGTAACATTTTCAAGGCTGCAGACAACCCCAAGGAGGCTGGAGCCTTCCAGGTCTAACACATTTCTCCTGTTTCTGTAAAGATGTCTTCAAACAACCCATAATATTATCCCTGGTAAATAAAGTATTTGTGTTTTTTTTTAATTGTTTGTAAATAACGCCTGTTTGAATCAGCTTCAGATTTCTTTTGAGAGAAACCTGAATCCTAAATATTGGCCGTAGGAGAAATATTCATCTTACAGTAATTGTTTCTCGGGTAGTTCAGTGAATAATGATCTTTGGAAAATATTTCCAGCTATTCTTCAAGTCCTCACTTCAGTATTATGTATTAGAAGTAGATCAGTATAAGATGTGGACTTTTGTTAAAGACGGAACATGGCTAATCTTAGCCATTCTGTCCAAATCCTTCCTGTTCTGCCCTCTAGACTGCATGTTTGTAGCTTGCTTTATCTATGTGGTCTATGTCAGGAAAGCTGCTCCTCAGGGAGGAGGATTTTAGGCCAGTTTCAGTTCTGGGGCCCCTGGACTTTGTCTGAACAGCCTGGTGTCTTCATCAATGGGGGCTCGCCTTCCACCTATGGAGCACAAACAAAGGCAATAGCGATACCCTACAATTTTTTGGGAGTCTTTTGGACAAGCTGAACCAACAACTTAAAGAGATTCTCTCATGCCTGGTGTTGGGGATTTTGTTAGATGGGAAAACTTTATTTAAATTATATGTATATTTACCCACACCTATGAAACATTTGTATGTGTCATAGCTTGGGGGAATGTAGATAGTTAATAGTATGATTCTTTATTATTATGGTTCTGATTTTTTCAGGCACTCTTATTGTTATTTTACTCTCTTTCTTCTGTATTTATCTCCCTCGTCCTAAGAGCCCCTCTTTCTCAACCTGCCCACCAGATCCTTTATACTCTGCTCTTCCTCTCTCTGCCATCCCCCCAACCTCTCTCCTCAGGCAATGGTCCCTTTTTACTTTCCTGGTTTCTGTAGTTGTTCAAGGCTATGTACTCACATCTGAAGAACTGGAGCTAGGAGCTAGCAGCCTCTGGCGAGAGATCATGTAATGTTTTTCTTTCTGGGTCTGAGTTACCTCAGTCAATATAGCATTTCCTAATTCCATCCACCAACCTGCAAAATTTTATGATTCCATTTTTTATAACATTTCATTCCATTTAGCATTCCATAGTGTGCATATAGCACATTTCATTATTCATTTATTAGTTGAAGGACATGTGATTTGTTTCCATTCTCTAGCTATTGTGCTTCCGACTGGATCATGTATTTGAACACCTGGTTCCCAGCTGGTGGTACTGTTTTGAGAAGTTGTGTGGCCTGATTAGTGTAACGGGCTCTGGGCATGGACTCTGGTCTCCTGATCTCCCTGCTTTTGTTTGCCACCACTTGAGGCCCCATCAGATTTGCCCCTTCAGGATGGACTCTATCCTCTGAGCCAAAATAAATCCTTTCACTCTCAAGTTACTTCTCTGGGGTGTTTATTATCAGAACACAAAAATAACTAATACATTCTATATGGTTGTAATTGTTTTCAATTTATCAAGTTGGAGAATGCTATCTTTACTTAATGGGGGTCTTCTGGGACTGTGGTGGTTTGCGTAAAAATGGCCTCCATAGGTCCACTGGGAGTGGCACTATTAGGAAGTACGGCTGTTGAGGTTGGTCTGATGCTAATTACTGGTCTTTGTGTAAACCTGCCTAGCTCATTATACCTGATTGGCTAATTAAACAATCTGTACCTGGGCAGGGCAGAATGAGGTAGGCATGGTGGAGGTTCCAGGGATTGAAGAGGACTCAGATGGGAAGAAAGAAAGGAGGATGCCAGGATGGCTTAACCTGTAGAAGAAACCACATGGGGCTGGGGGGAAGGACTCCAATAATGGCTTGAAAAGGCCCAGAAGAAGAATAAAAGCAAGTATTTATAAGATTATGGATGGAAGATAGGATTGGTAAGGAGGATGGCATTGGATGAGGGCTGGGAGATGGATGGTGAGGTGATTTAGACAGATATCCCTGTAGGGATATCTGCCCAGCCAAAGGTAAATAAGGCAATTATACAATCTAACAGGTGTCTGTGTCTTATTATTTGTGATAGCGGGTTAAATAATACCACTGTGGTAATCTTAGGGCTAATAATAAACATTATATAGACCAACACTCGTTTATTTTTTATTTACTGCAACATATGGCCTTGATGGAGGAGGCATATCACTGTGAAGGCAGGCTTTAAAGTTTCATACGCTCAGACTAGGCCTAGTGGGGCAGTCTCCTTCTGCTGCTTGCAGATCAAGATGTGGAAGTCTCTGCTCCTTCTCCATCATCATGTCTGCCTGCACACTGCCCTGCTTCCTGCCATGACAATAATGGACTAAACCTCTGAAACTGTAATTAAATGAAACATAATTAAATGTTTCCTTCATAAGAGTTGCCGTGTATTGTGGATCTTTTGGGCCCTGCTTGAGGTTTAATAATAATAAAAACACAGAGAGATCCATATAGTTTAAGGCTGTTGGCCTTTTGCTTGGGCAGTCTCTCACCTAGCTTCTAACTTAACCCAGCTTCTCTGCCATTGTGTCTTTACACGTGGCTCTCACTGCCCTACCTCCTTGCCTTGGTTCTTCCTTCTGTCTCCTGTATCAGAAGAAACCCATAGGCTGCTCAGTGTCCAAGTGGGTTCCCTAGTAAAGGAAGCAGGGGCTGTCTCTAACATGAACTCAGTGCTGGCTCATTGATCACCTCCCCCTGAAGGGTGCAGCCTTGCCAGACCACAGAGGAAGATGATGCAGCCAGCACTGATGAGACTGGATAGGCTAGGGTCAGAAGGAATGGAAGGAGGTCCTCTGCTATCAGTAGGTTAGGGAAGGGACATAAGGGGAGAAGAAGAGGGAGGGTGGGTAGGACTGGGAGGAGATAAGGGAGGGGGCTACAGCCGGGATACAAAGTGAATAAATTGTAATAAACAAATACATTTTTTTAACAAAGAAAAAGTTGACTTAATTATTATGGTAGGTTTAATTATGCTTTTATTACAAGAGAAAAGAGATTAAAGGATTTTTAAAAGTATATTCTTTTATGCTACTGTATGCCCAAAAGCCAGTCTGATAGAAACAGTTCTTTTCAGATGCCCCCAGGATGTATTAAGCTGGGAATAAAAGATAACATGCAAACACAGATGTATGTTATTTATAATGTCATCAACAAACTATATCAAATTTGTTATTGCAGTCACGTTCACTGAATATTTTTAGTGTACAAATTTTGAAAAAAAGTTATTTCTGTAATTTCCAGTCTTTACAACCTAAGGAGGGCTTTCATTTCATTTCTCTAACAAGCCAAACATCTTCTTGGTTCTTAATAACTGTCCAGTAATGTGTGACTTCTTTTTGTTGTTGTTGTTTTAATTAATTAATTTGTTTATTCACATGACATGACAATCATAGCCTCTTCCCTTCTCTCCTCTGGGTTCTACCCTCCCTCCCTTCCCCTTTCCACCTTCCCCTCCTATTCCTCAGACAGGAGGAATCCCTCCTACCAACCCACACCTCATCAAATTACATCAGGACTGAGTGCATCCTTTCCCCCTGTGTTCTATCGAGATAGCCCTGCCAAGGGAAAGTGATCCAAAAGCAGGCAATTGAGTCAATGTCAGAGACAGGCCCCTCTTCCCTTACTAGGCTATCCACATGAAGCCTGAGCTTCCCAACAGCTGTATTTGTGTAGGGCATCTGGGCCTAGCCCATGTATGGTCCCTGGTTGGCTGCTCTAGTCTCCACAAGCCTCTCTGGTCTCTCATTAGTTGGCTCTGTTGGTCTTCTCATGGAGTTTCGGCCATGTTCAGGTCCTTTTATCCTCCCACCCACTTTTTCACAGGATTCCCTAAATTTGCCCAGTGTTTGGCTCTGAGTCTCAAGCATTTGGTTCGATCTGGGTGGAGTCTTTCAGAGGACAGCTATGCTAGGCTCCTTGTCTTAGAGCATAGCAGACTATCATTAATAGTGCCAGTGGTTGGCTCTCTCCCATAGAATGGGTCTAAATTTGGACCAGGCATTGGTTGGACATTCCCTCAATCTCAGCTCTATCTTTATCCCATCACATCTTGTAGGCAGGGTAAATTTTGGGTCAAAGTTTCTGTGGCTAGGTTGTTATTCCCCTTCCTCCACTAGGAGTCCTGGCATGTTAGAAGGTATGTGTGTGACCTCTCTTGTTTTCAAATGTTTTCCTTTGCTCATCTGTTTTGCTCTGAGATTGTATGGGAGTAAGAGTTTCTGGTGACATAAAGAAGAAATCTTGGGCTGGAGAGATGGCCCAACCATTGAAGGCTAGGCTCACAATCAAAATATAAGAAGAAATCTTCTTTAGAGAATTCTTTGTCCAGGACACTGTCAGGCAGAAGGAGGAGGATGTTCCTTCAAAAGGCACAGGCATAGGGAAACAGGATCTGTTACCCTGCATCTCACAGGAATCAAGAATAGTAGGAGTCAGTTTTGGACAGTAAGTGAGCAGGTGGCATGGGGCCTGAAGTTCCTTCTAGGTGGGGTTGAGAATGAGGTGGCAAGAGAGAGTGCATTTAGCTACTTGGCATTGCAGCAAGCTATACAGTTCTGGAGAAAGACACCAGGAAGTAGCGCTGGAACACCTAGTTGTGTGTTGACTTCACAGAGGGGAGCTCACTCAAAATTCAGGTTTCATTTTATCAGTGAGCCTCAGGGCCTTCTCATAGAACAGCAGGGCATCCTCCATCTGTCCTTTCAGCTTGCAGACTAGCCCAAGGAGGCTGGTGCTCTCCACCAGTTGAACATTCTGCTGAACACGTCTTTCAGCCACTTTCTCCAAAGCCTTGAGTAGTTTCCTCCAGGCAAAGGATTTCTCTTCCACTTTTAGACCTTTTAAGTAGTGGGTGATTGCTTTGTCTTCTGACTTCTGATGAAATTGCTGGAAATAGCCATAGCGACAGTGAATATCCTGCTCTAAGTGAGCCGCAAGGTCCTTCATGTTCAGTGCCTTCTGGAAGTTTTTCTCTGCTTCTTCGTAGCGATGAATTTCTGCCTGTACTTCAGCCAAGCAGACATAAGCTATCTCAAATGTAGGCCTCAGTTTCAAAGTCTTTTCAAATGCGCAAATGGCCTGTTGTGCCAGGGCCTGCATGCTGTGCTTCCTGGTGGGCTGTCTGTTTCTAGATGTCTTCAGTTGCATCATTTGTTTCTTATAGCAGAGACCTATTTGGTAATGGGTGTAGGCAGAGGAAGGTGATGTCTCCAAGGCCCTATGTAGGAGTTGGAGGGCTTTGTCTATGCAGTTTTTCCTCCGGTAGTATTTGGCTGCATAGCGAAAGACATAGGTTTGGGAGGATGTGGTGCTGAGGGCTTCTTCAATATATGTTTCTGCTTCAGCTTGTTCTCCTACATCCTGAAGCTTCAGGGCAAGATAAACTTTAATGTATGAATTTTCTGGGTTTAGCCTGAGAGCCTTCCTTAGGGGTTCTAGAGAAATATTATCATCATCCAGGTCTTGGCGATAGGCTGCCAGTGCATAACCAGTATTATAGTCTGGGTTTTCTGGCTCCCCCTCCAGGGCCTTTGCAAAGCAGGCCATGGCTTGTTTATAATTCTTTCCTCCACACTTCAGCAAGGCCCAGCCTTCCTCACAGTCCATCTCAGCACACTCCATCCTATAGGGATAGGGACTTCCATATTCCTTGCAAGCATTCTCCACCTTGGCCAGGTAGGTCTGGGCTTCTGCCAAGCTGCCCATATGGTAATGCACCCAGGCACAGTTGCCCCAGGTCACCAGGCTTCTCTTGCCCAACCGCTCTGTCTGGATCAAGGCTTCAGCTTCTTTCAAGCTCTGCAGAGCTTCCTTGTTATGGCCTTTCAGGTGTCTCACGAAGGCCAGGAGGTTGTGCATCCCCATTGGGTTCTTGATGTCAAGGTACTGGACCTGCTCTGAGATTCTCACTTCCAGATCAGGTATGTCAGTATCTTCAAATAGCAGGTTCCATGTGAAGTGACATCTCAGCTGAAGCAGATTCTCCTTGACCTGATTGTCCCCAGCGTTCTCTCTGTGAGAAGGAAGCAGAATAGTTTCTTAGGTGAGAAATGACCAGAGATTGCAACCAAACGAAACACATGGTACAACATTCTCACTTACTTACTTAATGTCTCACATCTACTGTTCCTTTAGAATTCCTTGATTTTTTTTTTCACATCAAGACCTCAGCTCCATTTATGTGAAATGCCAGAGACTCCTTGTGCAAGCATGGATATATACTTGTGCTTACAATCTTAGATTTCATAACCTTGGATTGTAAGTTAACCATATCCATCAAGGCTGGACACGGCCACAGAGATACAGACACACAAACATACATGTCACACACCTACTCTGAGGTTTGTTGCTCTAAAAACTATTTCCTCCTTTCCTACTGTTGATGAGTTCACAAGTGCCTGCCCCCTTAGCTGACATAAATAGGACCTCTCTGTTGATTAATCCCTGAAAACTGAGGAGAAGTCATTGTTGTGCCTGCTCCCTTCCTCTCAGACACAAACATGGAGCTGGCACGACGTTCTCAAGAAGTAGGCTGACTCAGAACAAACGGACAAGCTCTCTTCCTTCTGACACTGGGTGCATGACTGTTCTCTGGTCCTTTCATCTTTGGGTGGTTCAGGCAGGGTGCCTCTAGAGAGTGATTGGACTTAGCTCTCCTCTCGATGGTTACAAGGAATATCTGCTTGTTAAAGATGCTTATACAGACTGAATGCATGTTCTTGTCCCCCTGCAGAACAGTTCCATCACTTTCCAGGTGCATATCACTGCGTGCCTCAGTATCACTATGTAACCATCTATGATATGGGAATAACATTAGTGTTTCCCATTCCTGGTGTTTGGGGAGATTGGTGAGGATATAAAAATATAATACATGATACATCATGCAAACCCCATAAGAGTTTCCTATTTTTCCCTTAGTGTTGAGAATAAGAGGTAGAATTTAGTCAATTCAGCTTTTGGATACGCACGTAAGAGCAGGGAGGTTTGAGTCTTGTCCATGGCTGGAAGGCAAAAAGGGCCTCCATTCTCTTGGTAGTTTTCTCTGCCAGAGGCCAGATATACCACATATCTTAAAACAGCTGTCTTTGGTTTTGCTCTGGTCAGATGCCAAGAATAGTAGCATAGAGGTGTGAGAACCTGTGAGGGCTTTCCCATTTAAGAGACTCTAGCTTGAAGCCCTTAGGGGTAGACCAATAGAAAATGACAGCCATTTAGTCACCTCGCGGATCAGCCAGGTTTGGCTGACTAGCTCAGCCTTCCCCCACGCTTCTCCCCAGTCAATATTATTAACTATATGCTCAGGGCCATTGGGAACCTCCACTTCCGGGACGCACTTCGACTTTACGAATCTTGTCTTCACTCAGGGAGGTCTTCTTTCTGAAAACCACCTGCTGTGGTCCATGTGACCTCAGTTCTGGATACTTCAAGAACAGTATGCAGCACCATTGACCCATGGGAAGTTTTGTGTGACTGACCAAAATTTTATGAAATCTTCAAGACACCCTAGTAACGAAAGTGATTTTGAACACATAGATTTGGACTCATTCTAAACCTATGATAATCAATGCATTATGATACTAGCATGAATAGTCCTGAAAGAGAAAAGGGACATATATACGATAGGGGATGGGGACACAAGAAGATGAGGAAGCAAAACAGTGGATGCATGTCTGAGCCCTTCTGCATGGGCTGCCATAGGCAAGTACTATGGACTACGTGGCTTACACAGAAAATTTTGTTTTTTCATTACATAGCAAGTTATGAATCTCAAATCAAACTGTCTGCATATATAGCACCTCACCTAGCAGGCCTTTCTTCCTGACCTGCAGAGGGCCACATTCCTGCTCCATCCTCATGCATTCTCTCCTGTAGGTGTCAGGATCTCTGAAGACTTCTGGATCTGTATCCTGTTCTGGTAGGAAAGCCTCCCATTCTTGTAGAAGGAGATCCTGTCCTCATGTCCTCAGCAAAGTGTAATCACTTTCCCCTGCCTTTATCCAGGTATATGAACTATTCTTGACAGTGGTTGGGAAGGGGCCACACTTTGGACATTAGTATAGCCAAGGGATCTTTGACTTACTGACAGCATTTCTATGTTGTAGGTCTGGAGAATGGGGGTATTTTAAGTCTCCTATAGTAATGAATTTTAAAATAGAGTAGGAAGGAAATGCTATGGTAGTTAGTTAGAGTTTAAGGTGGAAAACAAACCCACTACAAAACATGGCAAGCAAACTTTACATCTTGGCATCTGCCTAGGAGGCCAGGGTTGGAAATAACTTTCTTTTATAGGGACTTCTTCTAAGACTTGTTCTCTCTATAGTCCTCCTTTTCATGTGGCATTTAAAGTGTGTGTGTGTGTGTGTGTGTGTGTGTGTGTGTGTGTGTGTGTGTG